CCATCTGAGAGCAGAGCTTACAGCAGTGACTCTCTGTGGATAAAAACTTGACTTTAATTTGGACTCTCTGGCTAAGATAAAATCTGCTTCTGCTATCATTAAAGCACTTATGTTTGTCCCCCACTCTCTTTCCACTTTGCCACCCAGCTGAGCAGAAAAAAATTCATCTGACCTTGAAGAATACTCGGCGAATCTTCAAGACTACCAGGTTTTCAATGGCCAACAAAATACCAGAGACTTAGCCACATGGAGATCATAATGCAGGGGCCTAAAAAAGACCTCAGAAGTCAACAGTTCACTAGGTACCAATAGGAAGCCCACAGAGCTGCAGTGACTTGTCCAAAGTGGTGAGTTAGCTGGCGACAAGGCCAGAATCAGAAAAGAGGTGCAACCCTCCAGCTGTTTTCTTCCCTGGACACAACAGCTGGGCTCCTCCAAGCCGAGTGCACCACCAGACCACCCCAGAGGGCAAATGAACGCAGTTGGGCTCTTGCAAAATGAAAATTTAAAAAACCTTCAAAGAACATTTTCCAAACAAGTACTCTGAAAGTGACAAAAAGTGGGATTTATTTCAACATTCTTATGCTTAAGGAATCTTTATCAAGATCAAAATTACATTCTCAAAATTGGTTCCTTTTTCTAACCAGAAATGATTAAATCTTGTCTTTTTCTTCCTCAGAGTTTGCTTCCATATACTTGTGATTTGCTTCTCTCTAAAAACATTGTAGATTTGTAGCCTTAGATTCTGACTGACGAGTTAAAATAAAACAAAGGTGTGTGGACAGATGCCCATCCTGCATTCAAGGGTGAAACTGTTTGTCCCACACATTCTTTCCTTAAATTTAATTTCAGAGGTTATTCCCTTGTCATACTGCCTTGCTCCTGGACACTTGTGTGCCTGAATTTTCTGTTTAGAAAATTTCTCATGCCTCCTGGGAGAGAATGAAGTTGTGAGTGGTCAGGCCTGGACTCCCAGTGGAGAGACCAGTGACAGACCTGAGGGTCCAGCTGCTGGTGTCCACTCTCGCCTTTGACACCCCAAAGCCATGAGTGGTCAAAGTTAATGAGCAAAGTTATCCCTCTAGCTGGGCTTCTCTGAAGGGATAATGCTTTCGACTCAAATCTGCCTTAAAACGACAGTCTGGTTTTATAAATGCAATCCATTTCATGGAATTGAGTAAAAGAGTGAAATAAAATTATACTGCAATTTTACAGAAAAACCTGATGAGAGCTATTTGGAGAATTTTTGTCTAGAGTGTTACTACCCACCTGCATTATTAACTTTTGTTTTTCATCTTGAGAAATGACCTTACCCAAATAAACCTTCACAACTTTCTTTCATTTATTATATTTTTTTCCTGATGACATGACAGTATCAGAATAGTTTTAGAAATAATTGCTGTCTCTCAAAAATTTTTAAAGCAAAAAAGAAAACTTTCTAAAGAGCTTTCCCTAATAATCTATACTGCATAGTTATAAGTGAATATCTCTCAGATGATTTTGAGTAATGTAAAATGATAAATTCCACATGAAAATAAAGAATTGAAGAATGAAATTTGCGCTGTCATACATGAATTTAGTTGATCTTTACTTTCTTAATTATTTTCAAACAAAAGCACTTCTTTCTTGTTCACAAAGATCATTATCTTTGGGAATTAAATATCTTTGCAGTTCCTGTTAAATAGTTTTCTTTTTTAAAAGTACAAATATTCCATGTTCTACAAACTCAAGAAACCCTGCAGCTAGAGTTGAAAAAAATTTAAACCATGAAATTCTCCATTTTCTTTGCTAAGCCTGTACCAAATGAAAAAAGTTCTTTTATTCCTACTGACATAGACTTATTCAAAATCAGTTCTACATCTACTCAGTAATGTTTTTAAAATCTATATCAAGTTACTCTTTTGGTGGGCATTGATTAACTAGTCCAGAGAAGAAATAATTTATTGTATAAATAGACTCTAAATATATTTATTAAGTTCATACCTGAAGCCATAACAATGAAGAATTATAATATTTTTTCAGAGTTATAAAAAAAGAAATATGGTTCCAAGTCTTTACTTGTCACCCAAGTAAAAGAAAAAGTCCTGTATTTCCACAGGAAGTTGTTAAGAGAACTTTTCTAACTGTTTTTGATTGTTTATTTTTTGAGACAGCATCTTGCTATGTAGTTCAGGCTGGTCCTGAACTCACTATGGAGCCCAGGCTGGCCTTAAACTCTCCACAATCCTCCTGCCTCAGGCTCCTGAGTGCGAGGGTTATAGACATGTACCACCACATCTGATCAATTTAGTATTTTTTTTTTTATTGGTACTGGGGATCAAACTCACGACTGCCTGCTTGCAAGGCAGGTGCTTATGCCACTGAGCTAAATCCCCAGCCCCTTAATTTAGTATTTTTAAGAGAATATATTTCTATGAAAATCAGTGGTCACTTCATCTAAAGTCTTATCAACAGTCATTCTAACGGGCTTGTCTATGCTGCAGGCTCTTTGCCTGGTGGCTAAAGACATCAACAGCTTTCAGGGAAGGCTGATGTCCACAGAGCCCAAGACCACTTTTACTTACTGGGAAAAAAAATGTGAGACCACAGATATCACCAAAGAACAAACCTCAGTACTGTACCTCATCCTGCAGAGCAGGGCAATTTTTTCCCTTTGGTAATTGTGCCTATTTTGGTAAGGTCTGAGTAAGAAGTGCTTAATTATGTGGAATATGGGTACATCTAATTGAACTGCTGCGAAAAAGCATTAAAGTCATTTTTCAGATTAATACAATAGAATTCTAGATGCTGAAAACATTAGGGCTTCTCTAATTATGTATTTTGAAAGTTGGATAACACCTACTCTCTCCTAAGATGTTATGCTTTAGATCTAAAATGTCCCCGAAAGTCTCATGGGCTTGGAAGCTTACTGGATTACAGACTGCTGCGCTCAACACTGAACTGAGGAGCTCATGGATGAAATGTGCCTTTAGCGGGTGGATGTTTGTTTGGAGGTGGTCACTGAGGAGGAGGTCACCGATCTGGAAGAGTGTGTGCTTGTCCCCTGCTCCTCCCTTCTATCTCTGCTTTTGGCTGTCACAGGACACGCAGCTTTCTCCAGGATGTCCCACCACCATGCCCTTCCTGCCTTGGAGCCAGGCAAGTATGCACTGAAGCCTCTAAAACCATGAGCCAAAATAAACCTCTCTTCCTTTAAGTTTCAGATATTGAGTATTTTGTCCCAGCAAAAGTAACTAATACAGATGCCAAGTATCCATTAAAGATATTTTCTAAGCCAATGTTCACTTCAGTCACATGGCAAAGGTATTAGGTTGTCTCACTCTTATAATATTTTAAAAAATACATCTTTGACCTGACTCAGGAAATTGTCCATATTGAAAGTTACCCCACTCATGTAACCAGGAAAGCACAGTTATTTCCCCCAAATATTTTCATCTCCAGGAAACTTTTAGGTAACACTGAGAATCCAAATACAAAGAGACAAAGCTATAGGATAACAAATAAAGTCAGTCCTCTCTTCTTAACTCTCCTGCCTTCTGTCTCTGCACCAATCTGTCTTGATTGTGTATGTTTTCCTGCATAGCAGCTATGGATGTCACTGTTACTGTCATCCTTGGGCTGGGGAGGGCTGGATCTACTGAGGTTTGTCACCAAGAAAGTGGGTTATGTTGGCATTTGAGATGATATTACAAGTTGCTCACTGTTGGACTGTGTCACTATATTATAACTAGGAAGTCATCTGAAATCTTACTGGGAGAAACATCCATATGTAAGTCCAAAAATGGGTGGCTTGGCTGAGCTATTAATTTCCAGATCTGATCTGCTGGCCTGATTCATTATGCTTGGAAACTAATTAATTTTAAAGGCTTCTATGTTAAGAATAGTTGTTTGAAATGTAGACATTACACAGATTCATGAACTTAATTCTTGCAATTCTTAATTCTTGCAATTTGGTGGCCATCAGAATCATGGAACAAATTCTGTGACGAGAATCATGGAAAGAACTGAGGTCCCACTGCCCACTCTTGAAAGCTCCTCTTGTTTCCTTCTCAATGACAGCAAGTTAAAGATGTGCTTTCATCATTAACCCGAAGCATCTATTTTTGATGCCCTCAGTCTCACAATAATAGAGTGTGGAACAGCTTTATTATTTTATAAGGATGCATATTTGCTGGGACTCTGGGCATGAATTTAGAGTACTTGTTAGTCAATGGAGTAATGGTTGGAATCTGGGATGCAAGACTGGGACTAAATTTCTTTGCCCTCCTAACCCCAGAGAGTCTTTAGAAAAATAAAAACAAAAGAGCAGAAAGTACTTAAGGTAAGACACTGCTGTATTCATAATATAGAGAAATAACCAGCGTGCCTCATGGACAGCAGAGGCAGCCCTCCACGGGGCTACAAAACTGTGCTAGTAATAATTTTAATTGGATGCTATCTTTGCTGCCTTCAGAAAGTATCATAAAGTGGAATTATTACAGGCTACAAGTGCACTTACAGTGCTGGCCTCTCACAGAGGAAGGAGATAACATTTATCCTTCCGAGGGCAACATCAAGGGCCTTCTATTTGTTTCCTTTACATGCGTTCCCCAGCCTCCTGCTTTCTGCTTCTCCTTCCCTGGGTCTAAGAGGTCTATTTTCATTTATTTATTTGTTTATTTATTTATTTTACTACATGCACACAACATACTTTAATTGCCCCCATCACCTCCCTCACCGGATCCTGCTCCCCCACCCCCAGCTTCGTGTGCTTTTGGGAGAGGGCTTCCAGTGTGCATGATGTATTTTGATCATATTCCTCTACCTTACACCCTCTTCTCCCCTTCCTCTGATTTAATAATAGTCTCTCTCTTTTTTTGGGGGGGGGCATCTCTTTCAGATCCCATCTATTGGGGAGAACACAGAATCTTCACCCTTCTGATTCTGCCTTATTTTGGGGCCCCTTAGAGCCCGCACAACCCCACCACGAGGCGCCCTGGAGGGTCAGCGAGCACACCTACCTGCAGAGGGGTGGGAGGCGTGAGCGGAGACGGAAGGCCGTGGCCCGGAGACTGGCTGGGCTTCTGCGGGGGGCTGGAGCTCTGGTGGGTTGGAGGTGACTGGCTCTGGTTCTGGGGCTGGGAGTGGGGCTGGTGCTGCGGCGGCTGCGACTGTGGGGCCTGTAGCAGCTGGGATGCGGGAGCTGCCGGAGGCTGGGAGGCGGGTAGTGGCTGCGGGGCCTGGGGTGCGGGCTGGGGCTGCTGGGGCTGCTGGTTGGTTGGTGGTGCAGTGGGCTGCTGCTGCTGCTGCTGCTGCTGTTGCTGAAGCTGTTGGAGCTGCTGAAGCTGTTGCAATTGGGAGTTCAGGGATGAGGTAGCTACAAGGAAAGAAAGAGACTTTAGCCTGAGACCAGAGTCTACTCCTGACCTCTGTAGTATTTAAGTGGGTTTAATAACAGCCAAACCCCGGAAATGTCCTAGATATCCATCAACAGGTAAATAATGGATGGATACAGAAAATGTGGCACCTATGTATAAGGGAGTACTACTCAGCCATAAAGAAGGATATATTTGAGTTATTTGTAGGAAAGTAGATGGATCTTGGGACTGTGAGATAATGTGAGGTAAATCAGATGCAGAAGGGTAAAATACCACCTGGGTTTTCTTACATGAGAAATCCAAAATTGTGAATAATTTTAAGACCAACAGAGGAGAGATGATAAAAAAATAGGGTGGTAGACTTTTTAGAGGTGGGAAGGGAATTGGGGAAAAGAAAAAGGGGAGAGTTATGGGGAACAAAAGAGAGAAAAACGATCAAGATGTTATATGTGATTGTACCAGGTCTCCAAAATCAATGTATCACAAACACATAATAAAAAAAGTAAACTAAAAAAGAGGATTATGAGAACTTGGGAGAAATAAAATCACTTCTTGGGAAATTTTTACAACGTAGGTCCAGAGAATAAGACATCAGACATTCCTCTTAAAAGTAGTGAATATTACTTTAAAAGCACTGCTTTTAGAGCAGGTGCACACACAAAAATAGAGATTATTTTTTAAAGTACTTTCTCCCTCTCTTCCTTCCCGTACTGCTTGTGAAATATACTCATGCTTTCAAGGTTTGATTTAGATTTTCAAAGTTCAGCCAGTTTAATTCTTCTGGTAAATGCTTGACTGGAGTTTAGAACAGAACACTAAATTGTTTGTAATCTTTTCATCCATCATCAATACCATTAATGGTATCATTTTCACCTGCTACTTCAGACCCCCACCAATTTGCTTAGACATCTTAGTTTCAGATTTCTACAGTGCTATTTTTTTTTTAAATTTAAAGATAGAACATTCCTCTCAGTTTTGTAGAGTCAAAAGTCTGCATTTGAGTTTTAATTTTTTTTTGGTTTATTTATTTTTGCCCGTTGATTAAAGAGACAGAGGACCCAGGGATTATGGTAGGTGACTGCAAAATGTATGGTGCGATATTTAGATATATTAGCACCTCAAGGACAGACAAGGAGCTAGGAGAGTGAAATTGTCTTTCAAGATTTTCCTGTTCTGTGGAAGGTAAGAGTTGGGGGCAAAGTTATCTTAGTACTGAGCACACAAGATTTGTTCTCTGCTCATCAGGCCTGGAAGGATCCTGAGGCAGGATTCCAAAGCACTGTTTTGAGCAATTACCACTGAAAACCAAGTTCATGTCCACTTCTGCAAACTTCACATAAACTTCAGTATACAAGTTTTCTAACAAACCTATGGATAAATAATTACAGTGATCACTCCTCAGCCTATAGGCTATGGCTGCAAAGTTTTCTTGCTCCTCTCCTACCTAGAATTAGTCAAAATTTCCTAAGAAAATAATTCTCAGTTGCAAAATTCAAACTAGTCTCTATTTTTTAAAATATTAATTTTTAAAAATCTAGTAAAATTATATGATATGCTATACCTGTCTTGACACAACAAATGCATTCTTGAAAAATGCATGGCGTCATATATTGACAGTGTCTTAGAATTTTTTCATAGAAAATCTAGCCAGTGATAACTTTTTTGTAAAGTTATAAATCATTTTGTGAAATTTATTGAATGCCAGATAATACATAGGATTTAAAAAGGAGTTATTGCCTTTAAGAAGCTTCCAGTTTATTTGGAAAAATAAGATTAATTTATAAGAAACAATCTGGTATGTAGGTAGCTACTAGAGTCCTGAGAAAGGTAAGTCAGGTTAATGGACTAAATGGCCAACAGAGGGACACTGACCAAAAACACTGAGGGGAATTAGGAGAGGGGATACCCTCTGTGGGCTTCAGGGGCAAAGGCAGCAACATGGTGGACATGGCATGTAGGAGAGGGTTCAGGAGATGGAGGTGCAGAAGAGAGGATGTTGTCAGGCTGGAGAGACATCCAGAGGATGGTATGGCCTGGGTGCGACCCGAAAGGGCAGTGTTGAGAATGGCATGCTAGGATCTGAAAGGGTAGGAAACTTTGAATGACTTAAACCACACAGAAGGCAGACCTAAATAGTGAAAACAGTGGGGAGACAGACCCTCCCATTTAGACTTTTTGTTGATGTTGGTTTGTGTTTTTTGAGACAAAGTCTTGCTATGTAGCCCAGGCTGGCCTTGAATTTGCAGCCACTTCCAAGCTCAGCCTTCCAAGTATTAGTATAGGTATGCGCCACCACACCCAGCTTCAATCAACTTTTCGTGTAAGGCAGATTTCAAACATATAAATCAGGTTTGTCTCAAGGAAGGCACAGCTGAGCTGGTTCAGTGATGGCTTGCCTATTCCTGGGACCCAAGTGCTCACTGTGTGATCTCTGGTAGCATGTCTCGGGTCAGCTGGATAGAAAGTCCCCAGATTAACAGATTTGAAACTGCCCAGTCCATCTTCCCCTTTATCAGAATATTAGGAGGAAAATGTCATTTGCCATCTCACCCTTCTGTCTCCTGTTGTACAAAAGTCCATTTGACTGAAGACTGGGGAGCCAAGCTCAATTCCAACCTCCTAAGATTCCTTACCCTCTGCAGTAGCCTAAGTGGAGTCAGACTTTGGGAGCCTGTTGGCCACAGTCTCCTTCCTGCCGACCCAGATCAGGCCTGTCCTGACTTCTGTCAAGTGGGAGTATTGATGTTCGTGCTTATTGTCATGGTTGACTTAAATACCATACTGTTTTATTTTGGTTAGAAAAGCATTTATCTAAATCAGCATTTAGAAACAGGAAGCACTGGTGAATATTGGCAGATAGATATCGGCAGACGAATAGGTGCAACAGACCCTGACCTCCTAATGAGACAGGGTCCTGAATGTGTATCCAATGCTTTGTCAGTGATGCTTGGATATTTCTTTTCTGTAACTGCAACTTGATTGGGAAGACATAAATCTAAGCAAAAAATGCTTGGAGTTACATAAACTACTTTGGCATCTATAAGCAAAATGTGATAGAAAATATCCAATGTTCATGCATATAGTGGGAACAAAGAAAAGCATGAAGGAATGGAAAATAATGTAAGTCTGGTTTTGAAAAACGCAAAAGCCACCTACCCAATAATATGAAAATGAAAGCAATAAAAAAGTGAAAATATGGTGCCTCTAAATGGCTCTCTTATAAAGCATGGTGAAAATGGACACGGAAGGATTGTTTTTAAATGATGAATAAAGTTAGGAAGGTTCAAGGACATATTTGAACTACAAAGAATGTTTGTGGATAAAATGATGCTGGTTGAGGTAAAACTCTGACCCAAGGCGTAGAAGATTAAAGCATTTACTTTGCTGCCTGGTATTTAAGTTCTTTTATGATTTCTTCTGTGTCTGGCTACTAAAGAATCTGTAGGCCAATGCTAAATGTGATATTTAACTACAATAACAACTAGGAAGGAAGCAGATGCACAGAAATACATCCTGAAAATGTGAAAACTTGCAATTCTGGGACAGAAACACAAACCAAAATTCCATCAAACTATGAATTTCTTAGAGAGTAGAGAGCACTGTAGGACAACTGGTGACGTGAAACATCTCAGATAAATAATTTCATGTGGTAGAGGGGTAGTCAAGAATGCTACATTTGCCTTTTCGAATGTAGACTTTATTTTCAGCATTTAAACTCTATCTAAAAAAGTTTCTCATTTTGAATATCTGTTAAAGATTTCTTCCCACATCTAAATACAGAAACACCAGCAGACATCTATCAGTTATGTTGGATGGGATTTATGCAAGATTCTTTGCAAAGTTCCAGGACTCCATGGATAGCGAAATACAGTCCCTTCTATAAAATGATGTACTATAGACACTAACTACTTTTTCTAAATGACTTCTAATATCTGATACAATGCAAATGCTGTTTAAGGTGTTATGCTGTATTTTTTTTTTTTTTTGGAAATGACAAAAATAAAATGTGTATGTGCATTTAGGGCAGATGAAATAAAAAAATGTTTTTCATCTCCAGTTTGTTGAATCTACAGATGTGGAAAGCGATTCCATGAAAGATTTCAGAGAAATAAAAGTGTGTCTTATGTTTAGCAAGCAAAGGACTGAAAACAAAACCCTCCTCAAATACTGATGGAAGTATGATCATTCGCAAATCTTTATCCATTTTATGCCAATAGCATTTTATGCCATGCCATTGTAATGATGCCAGCCAGGCTCTCTCTTCAGTATTTTGCTGGCCTTTTTGGATTGAGGTGTATTTGGACAATAGTGGTAGGCTGGGTTAGGGAGCCTGCTGGGCATGGTGGGTAGAATTCTTATTCCCTGAAGTCTACATTTTCCTTGTCATGCCTGGGAACTGGAGTGTCTTCCCAGAAAGGAGTCCAGAGACTCACACTGGGGAGGAAGGAAGCAAACAGGGCTTATTTTTAAAGGAATCTTGCTCAGTGTATGCGGGTAATGATTCCCCAAACCCAACTCTAGTCCAGTCCCCTTGTTGCAAGACTGGTTCCAGGCAAAGAAAGAGCTCAAAGTCCAAGAAAAATAAGTAGGTCTGAAAATAGAATGCTAAGCAAAGGAAGCCAGAAACCAGAGCCCATATAGTGTATGATCCTATTTATATGAAATATCAAGAATACGTAAGTACATAGTGAGAGAAATCACAGTAGGGGGTGCTGGGGCCATTATTAGCAAATATGTAGTTTACTTTTGGGGTGAATAAAAAGCTCTGGAACTACATAGGGGCAAGCAACCCTGTGGTTGCCTAACCCTGGGAAAGCACCTCAGTGCCACTGAGCCACACACTTTAAAGTAATGGTGATGGCCAATTTTATATGCATATTTTATTACAATAAAAAGAAAGAGGTTTTTCTCTACATTCACTTTGAGGACCAAGCTATACTGGCTTAGGATACTCCAGGGAATGGAATGATCCTCTTCTGCTTGGTGTGGCTTTGTGGTC